TTATAATTGGTCACGTGTAAAAAATGATTTTGCAAAACCATCGTTAAAATGTTTGTTCAGAATTTTGATTTTTTATTATTAAAAAAAGAATGACGTGGCCGAATAATAATTGGCCAGGTGTAAAAAATGGTTTTGCAAAACCACTGTTAAAAAACAATGTCATGAATGAGCCTTTTCTTAAATGGTAATGGCATAGATGAACCAAACTTTTAACGGATGGCATAAATGAGCCTTTTCTGAAAGTTCGATGCCATATTTGAGCCTTTTCCCTTCTAAAAATAGGATATATTTGATAATTTTGAAGAGGTGAAAATATCAACCTTTACAATATTTGTTGTGTGAATGAATGCTTCCTTCAAATTAGTAAGTCCATTACTGATAAGAATTCTTAAATCCTATCTTACCAAAAGTAACTCCACGTAGGTAAATTTACATAATCCTTTGACTATTCAATTATCTTCAAATTAGTTTCGATGATTGACAAACAACTATAGAAGAATCACCTTCCCTTGTACATTTTGGCTATGCTTACAACTAGATTAAAGTTTATTATACCACTAAAAACCTAACAACCGAAAATTCAATGAATTTTTGTAAAGACTTTGTGGAGATGTAGAATTGATCAATTAGTAGAAGACTTTATCACTGAAATGGCTCTTTGATTAATTCAAATTCTTTACAAGTAAAGAAATGATAATTGTATTGGACTAATTCCTTGTACTTGATGTGTCATAATTTAATTATCCATCTCTCATGACTAATTAATCAAACATCCAAGGTAATCCTTGAACAAATAAAATGGAATTAAGTTGACAACTTGAGTTTCCAACACTATAAATACCATCATTTCAATTGTTTGTTTCGTCACCAAGAAATCAACAGAAAATAAGAGCTATGGCAAAGTACACTACTTTTCTCGCCCTCCTCTTTTGCCTCTTCCTTGTTGCTGCAACTGGTGAGTTGTCATGATTCTATACCTATCAAATATAATGATTTGTTTAAGATTATGAATTTTCAAAAAGAAAATTTAATTAATTCTCAATTTTCTCATTTTTGCAGAAATACAAATGGCAGAAGGCAAATACTGTTGGAAAAAAAGTGACAAGTGGAATGGACCTTGTCAATACTCTTAGGGTCTGTTTGGAAAGCCACCTGGTAATTGGAATTGGTGTAATTACTAGGGTAGTAATTACCAGCATAGTAATTATACTGTCTAGTAATTACACTGACCTGTTTGGTTGCCACAGTGTAATTACACTGTAATTACACATGTCCTATTTGGATGCCACAGTGTAATTACACATGTTCTGTTTGGATGCACAATTGCAATCATAAAATTATAATAAATTTTTAAAATAAAAATTAATTATTTAAAATTTATACTAGACAAATAAGAAACTTTATAAATGACATTAAATTAAATATTTAAGATATATATTCTTTTTTGAAAATATATTAATAAATAAACATATTTTCTGTAACTAATATTATGAAAAAATAATTGATTTATATTTTTTCAAATTAATATAT